CGGCCGCGCCGCGGGAACAAAGGGGACGCGCTGGGTCCTAGGGACCGGTCACTCCCCACCGGCAAACCGCGCCTGCGCACCCGTCGCCCTCGCTGGTCCCGAGCGGGAAACTACCCCACCAACACATCCTAAACACACAGAAATGTCTTTTCCTCCCACAAAACACCCAGCTGGGCGACCCAATCAAAGACAGGTACCGAAAGGATGAGGAGCGGGAAAATGGCCGCTCGTTCCCGTAATTAACATGGCGCCGGATGGGCTTCAAAGCCCAATGGAGGGCTAAGCACAAGATGGAGCCTGCGTTTTCCTCCTCTCTCTATCACAGTCGGCGAACTTCGATTTCTCTCTTCTCCTCATGAAACTCTACATCCTACCCAGGAGGATCCTGAGGCTACGAAAAGGGAATCAAATCGGCCCTCTTCTATGTTTACACCCGCCAGCATCGAGGAGAGGAGGCCGCGCGCGCTCAGCTTGTTGCCCTTAGTCTGTATGGCGCCGGAGGTCACCCTAAGCCCCGCCTCTTCCCATGCCCTCACTCAAGATGGCGCCACCCTGGCTTCTCTAACCTCCAGTAGCTGGGAAAGGGACGGGAAAGAGGGAGAAAGGAGGGAGGCGGGGAGGAGGGAAGCCAAGAAGGCGGGAGAAGGGGGAGTGCGGGGGAGAAGGGAGCCGAGGCGGAAGTCGGGGGGCCCCCCGGGTGGAAGTGACGCTACCCCCGCTGCCCAAAATGTCGGCGCCCAGAGGGAGGTGTAAGTAATTAAAGAGGAAAGCCGACTGACTTTCCCGGCCTCCCGGGGCCGCCTCAGGGCTCCAGAACCCCCGCTCCGTACGAGCGAGGTGGACTCGCCCGGCTGCGGGTCTAGCCTGACCTGCCCCCGCCCCGGGCGCCCGGGGCCGCACCTTTTAGGGACAGGGGGGAGGGGCACAAAAGGCTGGCTCTTTGGGCCTGGGTCCTCGAGTGGACCGGGTTGGGGGGGCCAACCCCGCGGGCATCAAGGTGGGGAGGAGGCGGGGCTTAATGATGGCTGGGGCGGAGCAACTGCTGGGAGGAGCCTTTGTGGGCGTGGTTTGGAGTGAAAATGGGCGGGACTGTGGCGGAAAGTGGGAGGGGTTTAGGTAAAGGGAAGAGTTTTGACAAAGGGGCGTGGCTCAGTGAGACTAGTAGGAGGGCCCTAAGTTGAAGGATCCTAATTGGGGCTGAGTGTGGTAATGGGGTTCTGTGTGGAGGTGCGAGGAGCTTAGAGAAGAGGGGTTTGTTTAGGGATGTGTCTTTCAGAAAGTGGTGGGCATAGTGAGGGGCATAGGGTTTAAGCGTGTAATTTGGGGCATCTTAGTGAAAGAGGCAAGTCTTTACAGTGAAGGTGAAATGACTTAGGATGGGGAGATACTCAGAGGGGAAGGGCTGAGAAAGCGAGATATGTTGAGTGGAGGGAGTCTTTGAAAATTTGGGGCTTACTTAAAGGCTGAGTTTACAGGAAAAATTGAGTGGGGTTTAGGAGGCGGATCTTGGTAGGGAAAAGATAGTGGGACTTCAAGAAGAAACTTGGACTAACTTAGCACATAGTTGTAATCAATACAGCTTACCTGTTGAGTTTTTGCTGTGAGCAGGCTTTAAAAAGCACGCAGCACACATGGCCAGAATTCTCCTCAGTCCTCATCACCACTCCCTGAGGTATTATCCCTATTTTGCAGATGGAAAGAGAATCAGTTGGTTTTATCCAAGATTCCAGGACTAGTTCTGGTCGCCCTGGAAGGTTGACTCAAGTGTCTATAGCCCCAAATCTTTGTCCTCTCATTGGCTAAAAATGTGAATCTTCATCTGAAGGTGACTCTCATCTTCAAAGAGTGGAAGTGACTTTTGGAGGGAAGGGGCTTGTCAAGAGCCTTCAGGAACAACGCAGAAACTTTGGAAAGAGGAGGCGGGACCTGAACGCGAGCGGACTGGCCTTAACCACAGTGGGTGGGGCTTAGAGTGAAGCAGGGAGTCCATTTGCAAAGGGTGGGGGAGGCTGAAAACAGTGGCACAGAAGCGATTTGGAAGTGATTAGGAAGACTGGCAGATGAATGGGGGGAGCGGTTGTAGGATAGTGGGAGGGGCTTAAAGAGCAGTGGATGTGGCTTGGGTGGATGGGCACGGCTTAGAAGGTAGTGGGCGGGGCTCCCAGGGACAGGTGGAGGATCTGTGAGTCCAAGGAGCCCGATAGGGGAGACTAATGAGGAGGTGACTCCCTCACCCCACCCTCCATGTCTCCCCGCTCCAGAGAGACCCCCACCCGCCACTGCCCTTGCGCCAGGCCACCATGGATGACGCCCCGCTGCCAGCGCCCCCGGCCCCTGCCCCCGCCCCGGCTCCGGCTCCACCCGCTGCTGCTCCCCGCGTCCCGTTTCACTGCAGTGAGTGTGGCAAGAGCTTCCGCTACCGCTCGGACCTGCGGCGCCACTTCGCTCGGCACACTGCGCTCAAACCCCACGCGTGTCCGCGCTGCGGCAAGGGCTTCAAGCACAGCTTCAACCTGGCCAACCACCTGCGCTCACACACTGGTGAGCGGCCCTACCGCTGCTCTGCCTGCCCCAAGGGGTTCCGAGACTCCACCGGCCTGCTGCACCACCAGGTGAGTCCTGCAGGCCGGCCCCAGGCTGGCCTCCCTGGGACCCACTATGGGCAACAGACAGCTGGCCCAAGGCCCTTCACCGACCTCCTCCCCTAAGAAAATTTCTCCCTCCCTCCCCATCAAAGCACCCTGACCAGTCAAAGCATGAGTGTTTCTCTTTCAGTCACCACCCAATACAGAAACTAAAACATTCATACATTCATAGTAAATTTGCTCTACATAAAAGCTCCTGCCCCCTCCCATGCCCCGCTTACACCGCCAGCATTTGCAACTTTGTGTTCATCATTCCCTTACTGTTTTTTAAAGATAGATTTACGCTGTATATACTTAATTCCTTTATTTAGTGGTGATTGAATTTTTTCTCCGCCCCAAGACCTGGGATACCAAAGTGAAATCAATAAAGCCCATGCCTTTGGAGAATTTACGTTCCATTGAAAGTGGCCCATCCCCAGGTAGAAAATCAGCATGAAAGCAAATACACAGGCAAGGGTGATCTGGAAAAGAAGAAGTGTCGGGAAGATAGAAGAGCAGCAGTAATAATAACCATCTGATATGTAGCAGTAAAGAGGGGAGAGCTATGGGCTACCAGACAAGGAGGGGAGGGGCAGAGCAGGGTGATAGTTGAGCTGAGACCTGAAGTATCAGCAGGAATCCACCATGAGAACAGTATTGCAGGCAGAGGGAACAGGAAGTACAAAAGTTCTGAGGCTAGAGGGACCAAAAGCTGGCCAGCGTGGCTGGAAGCGGAGAATGAAAGGGGAGAAGCTAGATCCTGGCCCTGTAGGCCTGGTAGGGAGCCTCACCCTCATCCCTTAGGGAGGCCAAGAATCTGCCCCGAGGGCTAAACCCTCAGCCCTGACACTGGGCTCTTCCTCCTGCCCTCTCAGGTTGTCCACACTGGTGAGAAGCCCTACTGCTGCCTAGTCTGCGAGCTCCGCTTCTCCTCCCGCTCCAGCCTGGGCCGCCACCTCAAGCGCCAGCACCGCGGGGTGCTT